CATTTGAGCCGTATGCATCCACTTCACGCTTCGATCATCTGAGACATCGTTTCTTGCGCCGCACATGTCGGAGACTACGAAAAAGCCTGACAGGTCGTCAGTGTGTATGAATACGCGGTGAATGTACAATGTCAGTAGACCACGGGCACTCGCAGTTCCTACGGGACATAGGTCGACACCTGAGATCTATCCCAGCCTACTGGGTTGCACTCGGGACGCGTTGCGTGGTTGTCTTCCTCGCGGAACGTTTTGTCTGCTACACGTACGATTCAATCAACAGGCAAGAGTGTGGTGTATTGTTGACAGTAGCTAAAGGTACATGACTACGAGAACAGGGCCGCTCATGGGTGGGTATGCGACTCGCCGCCGGCGAGACTGCGAAAGACTGGTAAGAACAGAAGATGGTATGCGAAGCGTAGTACGCGCCCATTCACACTGTACTGCACAACACGGAGCGGCGCGGACCCGAGAGGGCGTATAAACGACAATAACAACGAGCAGTGGTCATACTCTCCGGAAGACGTAACATCGTTCTGCAGCGACGATTCAAATGGATACTTAAATGAGTTCGGCGCGAGTTGGTTTCCCCTCGCGCGCATGAAGCGGCACGAGGGTACTTATCCCGAGGACCACGTAAAGGTCCGCGCCCGGACGGTCGCCGCACAAGTGCAAGCGTCCGCCCGCCCTCGAGGGCCTCTTGAAGGCTCTTGCTGCAGCCTCGCTTGCGGCGCTTGACGATGGCCAGGGACCCCGTTGACGCAGCCCCCGCTTCCGGCGATTGACCCTTGACGTCGCTATTGACGCAGCTCAACTTGCAGCGCTTGACGACCCGGATGGCCCACTCCTTGACGCAGCCCTCGCTTCCGGCGCTTGACTGTTGACGGACCTTGGGGTTGATGCAGCTCGTCTTGCAGCTCTTGAGGCAGCCTCCCTCCTTGCGGCGCTTGACCCTTGGCTTCAGGTTGAAGTTGACGCAGCTAGACTTGCAGCGCTTGACGACGGCCCGTCTTGAGGCAGCCCCGCTTGCGGCGCTTGACGATCCCCCGCCCCGACTTGAATCAGCCCGTTTGGGGCGCTTGAAACTCATGTTGACGCAGCCCCGCTTGCAGCGCTTGACCCTTGCCGTCGTCGCCCGCCACAATTTGAGGCTGCCAACCTTGCGGCGCTTCACGATGGCCTCGTTGAGGCAGCCCCTGCTTCCGGCGCTTGACCCTTAAAGAGCTTGTACTGGAGGCAGCTCAACTTGCAGCGCTTGACCCTTGCATCAGCTTCACCCCCCGCCTTGACGCAGCCTATGTTGCGGCGTTTGACATCGGACAACCCACTGGAGGCAGCTATGCTTGCAGCGCTTGACCTTTGAACCAACTGACGCGACCGACGTTAGCAAGGAGCAACGGAGTGAACAGCCGGATCACATACCAACAAGGAGACGAGCTGAGACCGAGAGGTGGCCTCAAGCAACGCCTTGAAGCAGCGGAGTTGCAGCGCTTGACGACCCGGTCTTGCCTCAGAAGACTTGACTACGTAGAGAATTGGTATATGAGCGACGACGATGAAAGAAGACCTGCTCACCACTCACAGAATCACATAGGCTTGCGGTGATCCCAACAATCAGCTCAGCGTATACTAGGCAGGACATATGGCACAGGCGAACATGCAGAGTACAGACAAGCAAGAGAGAACAAGAAGCAATAGAGAACAGGCCCAGCGACACGCTCTTAAGTGGACCACCTTGAGGCTGTCTGGTGGCCGGGAGTGGCGGAGGCTGGCAGCGAGTGTGGCGGCGAACATCGGACAGAACTTGCGGCTGACGGACGAGTGTGAGGCAACACCAGGCAACGTCAGGATGAAGTCCTTGACCGAGGAGTATAACATACCTTGACGAGTGGTGTTGGTGGCGTACAATTCGGGGGCCCGCAGCCTGAGTGGCTCACTACACGGCGAGGTCAGTAAGCGGGGACCTCATATCCCGTAGCAGCTACGAGTACAAGACAAAGGCACGCCCCGAATTGGCCCCGAATGACATGACACGGAGGGGGGATCAGAGGAAAGGGAGATGATGGGATGAGAAGAGAGACGGACTGGGCGGAAGGTGCGGATAGCTGCTTCCTATATACGCGCGGGCGGGAGTGGCACACGACCCAAATCCGGGGCAGTCCACGGGAGAGGAGATTTTCCGCCATATCGATGCGCTCGGGCCAATCAATCGCTTGTAGATCACCTCATGGGCTTTTGTGGGTCCACATCGCGTCCGGATGCAGAATAATGGGCTCGAAATGGCAACTGCTCGGCGCGGCTAGTTTCGGACAGGGCGAGACGCTTACGTAATGGACCGCTGCGCCATAACCGGACCTGTGCGCCGACTGTGCAGCTTACACTCACTCACTCATTCACATCATGGGCCTCTTGTTATCCCTGCCCTTCACGGGTATCCTGGGGACCGTCGCTACATCATGTATAGGCGGTCTCGCCTTCTGTTTCACTTCGACGGCTGGTTAGTCGAGTTGGATACCTTGAATGCGGTTCAAGAGCTAACGTCGTACGTGTAGCGTCGATGTTCTTCAAGTCATGTAATTGTAACTCCTCCATCGCAACGCGGGTTGGTTTTGCGGTATGTACATATCCGTGGACTTGCTAGTCTTGTGAGCCTGATACGACACCTGTACGATCTAGATCATCTTTTGCCTGAACTCAATGTTCGCATGGCTCATGAAGACACCACTCGCGATTCAAACCATCGAGAGATGGAGTCATGGCTACTTGGAGATGGACTGCGACGGCGGTCGATGTTATGGTGTACTGGCGGTACGTGCTTAATGTCCACTCCTTGACTGTGGGTGCGGTCGTACTCAGCGATGGCGTTGAATTGCAGGTCCACCGGATATGCTTCGCTCTTTCGCTCTTCCATTTCATCCTCGGTGCCTCCCTTGTCGGCGTGAAGGACACCAAAGACAAGCGTGCGTCCATTCAGAACGGCTGGTGGGGCCCGAAAGTCTTCCTCTGGCTTGTCCTCGTGGTCGCGTCCTTCTTCATCCCGAACGGCTTCTTCATGTTCTGGGGCAACTACGTCGCCCTCATCGGCGCGACTATCTTCATTCTCCTCGGCCTCGTTCTCCTCGTCGACTTTGCGCACTCCTGGTCCGAGACCTGCCTCGAAAACTGGGAGAACTCCAACTCGAATCTGTGGCAGTGGGTTCTGATCGGGAGCACGGCGGGTATGTACGTCGCTGCTATCACGCTGACGAGCGTGCTCTATGCGTTCTTCGCGGACAGCGGCTGCACGCTCAACCGGTTCTTCATCTCGTTCAACCTCGCGCTCTGCATCCTCATCACGATCGTGTGCGTGCATCCGGTCGTGCAGGAGCACAACCCCCGCAGCGGCCTCGCGCAGGCGAGCATGGTTGCTGCGTACTGCACCTACCTCATCACATCCGCCGTCGGCAACCACACGCATGAGACGTGCAACCCGCTGAGGAAGGGCGGCGTCGGCGAGGGAGCAAAGAACACCACTGTCGTGCTCGGCGCCCTGTTCACCTTCCTGGCTATTGCCTACTCAACCAGCAGGGCGGCGACGCAGAGCCGTGCGCTGGTTGGCAACAACAAGAAGGGTGCCATCGAACTCTCGAATGATGACGGGCATGCGGAGATGGGCGTCGTGAACACTCAGCCGGGCCGTACGGAGTCTCCTAGGTATCAGGCCTTGTTGGCAGCTGTGGAGGCAGGGTGGGTATAATATTTCTGCTTGTTCACATGACAGCTGACCCAGCGTTCTAGTGCTATCCCCGCTTCTGCACTCGATGAAGACGAGGAAGAGGACGAAGATGAGGTTGTCGGAGAGACCCGAGACGACGAACGCACCGGCACACGATACAACGTACGCCTTCGCTGCTTTTCTCACGATGCCTACTCTGATGATACTATCTCTGCAGTACTCTTGGTTCCATATCATCTTCGCCATGGGCGCGATGTATGTCGCCGTCCTGCTGACAGACTGGTACGCTTATCCTTCAGTACTGCATCTCCTCAGAGCTAATCAATTGCATCGCAGGAACGTGGTCAAGACCGAGCCCGGCCCCGACGACGACGTCTACATCGGCCGCTCGGAGATCGCCATGTGGGTCCGCGTCGTGTCGAGCTGGGTCTGCATGGTCCTGTACATGTGGAGCCTGCTTGCGCCGGTCATCATGCCGGATAGGTAGGTGGTGTGGCTGTCTCTCGCAGAAGGCTTATACTAATGAATGCATTGGGTGCAGGTTCGATGATCTATAGTAAGTATACATATTGCGTGCAGTGTTTGAGTATTGTACATCTAGTGTCATGGACGCTCTTGACTGAGCTATGCCTTAGCTATGCTTCGAGACAGCAGGGTTATGACTGCAGTTGTCGGTCTGACCACAAGACACGACCGGGCTTCGATTTTGAAGTTACGCCTGACGAAGGTCACCCTCGTATCGCCCTGAGCATCGGGTGTCGTCCATAGGAGCACCAACCTGGTGTACAACCTGCGGACAGTCGCTCGCCGTTGATAGGAGCATAGTGGCCCTGGCTCGTAGGTTCCGTCACCTGCACTACGTGTCTGACAGTATACCGCGTCGAATCTTGAATGTGCACCATGACCGAGAAGGCTACATCGATGTCAGCCCAACTGAATAGGACACATCCACTGTGGAGAGACGCACTACCATCCTTGATCGGAAGATTTCCGCGACGTGCGTCGCACTCCCGTCTTCAGCGGTGTCGTGTCTTGCGAGCCAGAGCGTCGTATCTGTCAGGAAAGTGAATGACGGCCCGAGCGCGGGCTTTCTGTCGGTTGTGGCGAAGACGGAGTCGGGGTTGCGAGGCGTGCACCGTGTAGACGAGTTGATACCTGCGAGGAGGGAGGTGATTGGTCGGATGGTGCCCGGGAAACCAGATGGACTCACGAGGATGGTCAGGGAGAAGGATTGGGCGAGGGTTTGGAGCTGGCGCATGAATGTGGTCATGATGGCATGGCCTATATTCCAAACGAAGGTGAGCTTACGACGGAGCACAGTGCGCAGAGATACCTTGGGAGGAAACCGCGCTCAGTAGGGGACTGAGTAGTGCGGTGACAGTGTCTACAACTACGCAGCGCACGACGGGCGGAGCGTCGGGATGTGTCTACGTCGGATGGTCTCAGCAGTACCCTGCGTACGGAGGGCGTGCAACTCACGCTCAGGGTCGTCCGAATCATTTCTAACACGTCTTGGGCTGTCTCGATGTCGAAGGCGAGCGCGACTTGTAGCCGTTCTAGAGTAGTAGACACCGCCTATAACCCACAGCTTAGGACTCGTTGCGTGGACCGAGAAGACTGGCATCTTACACAGCCCTCATAGGACTCGAGAAGAGGAGGTATACGGTCGGCAGAGAACTCCCCTGTGGTATCGATCCACAGCGCTCCGAGGTTGTGGTCAGAAGAAAGATGTCGCAACACGACTGAGCGCAAAGGACTGTAGACGGTGTCCACACGTCGGCTCAGTAGCACGTTTCGCTGCAACAGCATACATACCGACTTGCCGGACCCTCTGTCTCCCGAGACCTCAATGACGCGCGGAGGTGCAAGTCCGCCCAGCAGCTGGTCAAGCTGTCGCACCCCCGTAGTGGGCTCACTGTACAGATCGCTCTCTTCTCTTCTCTTCCCTTGTTCGAAGAGCACGTCTCCGCAGACGGCTGGTGCCGCCGCTTGTCGCGTTACTTGCGCGACGAATGAGTGAAAATCATGTAGACTCAGAGTACCGGATGGAAGCTTTCTGAAGATGTCGACAGGGGTCGCTGAGAAGAGCAGATCCGTGTCTGTGCGGATTCCGACCTGCGCCAACGCGTCGAGCAGGGTCTGGGGAGGCGAGGGGACCAGAGTTTGGAGGCGCATTGCAGAATGAAAAGCTTTCAGCGGTGGATATGCAGGGCCTGGAATGTACGCCCAGATAACAGACAGCAGCGGACACTATCAAGCAATAAAGTCGCAAGAGTACGAGTGCGAGGCGCGTACACGGGCGTTGACAAGTCAAACACGGTCGACCGCGCGAGTGGCCCGAGTCCACGCCACAGACGCGTTGGGATTCTCGGCCCGCTTCGAACGCACTGACCACCACCGTCCAGCCACTGTGGCTGATACTGAACCTCCACCATGGCGGACGCTATACCACAAAGCGATGTTTCTCGTCCCTCTGCGCTGCCCACAGCCAACCTCCTCCAGCGCCCGATTCAGCCGCTCGTCGACCAGAACTCGAACGAGTACCTGGATGCCATAGAGGAGGAGTGGAACAAGAAAGTCGACGTTGAGGTCGACACACTGGTGGACGGAATGGTCGACCTTGTCGGGCTGGCTTCGGTGAGTGGGATGCCTTGTTGCCCCGGGACTTGTGCTTAGTTGGAACAGATCGGAGACAAGGACAAGTTCAGAATAGCGCAAGAGTCCTACCAGGCTGAATGCCGAGCAGAGTCAATGGTGAGTTAGCATGTAGTTGGTTTGTATCTTTTGCTGAATCCCAGAGCTCTTAGATCCGGGCAGCACATTCTCTGCTGTCCATCATCCACTCCATGAAGCTGCTGCTATTACTGTCCGACGAGTCGCAAATCGCAAATCGTAGGGATGCGGAAATGCGGGATGTTCAAGCAGAGAAGGACACGTTGAAGAAGGAGGTGGCGGGAAAATTGGACGAGATACTTCACCAAGGGCGGTCAGGACGATGGCCGGAGAGTCAATGATAGACCGACGCTCTGGCGAACGTCCTGTCCGGCGGCACTGATCATGACACAGCTTCAGCTCGAGGTGTCTTCAAGGTAAGTGTGTCCTACATAGACTGCGGCTCTGTGTATAATTATGCTTATCAGGTGTATCGCCCGTCCTTCAATTGGGGCGTTCTTCGACAGCAGGCGATGGGGCCACGGCTGCCGCGTCAATCGTGCTCGTGTCAATGCGGCTACATTGACATAGTACGATGAAGACGTACAGCAGGCGTATGCTTACGTCTCATCGCACGGACGACAGACTCAGTCCTTATGGGACTGGCGCATGATATTGTCCATCGGAAAGGATTATACGTACTCGACCTACGCATTTCTGAATGTGTCTAGCGGCGCTACCGCAGCTAGAGATTGCTTGACACAATACATCATGGTGTCGTTGCACTCCTCGTAAACCACTCGCCGGCGTATCAAGTGTGAGCTGGTCTCAGTGAGCACCAGTGAGGATGCCCGATTGCATCTATGAGCGCGTTTATCACATGCATCGGACCAGTCGGTGAGTCCGAGCGCGCTGTTCAGCTCCCAGCATCATAAGTTCAGCTGGGGAAGCATCTCCCCATCTCCAGCTTCCCCCCTCCTCCTTGCCAGCATCTCTGACGCTTCTCCGACTATCCCATCTCTCCCTTTTCATCGTGAACTACGTAAATCACCATGTCTGACATCAAGGAACTGGGTTTCAAGGTAGGATAGTGTCCACACGAACGCGGTACCAGTAGGATTCACGAGGAACCAGTCGTCCGAGACACTCGCAGCGCTCGCGACCGTCTTCAACGGCTACAATGACGAGGAGAAGAAGGCACAGATCAAGAAGGTGCGTCCTCGTCGCACGTCGCGCTGCTGCACCTAGAGCTGACCGCACGCGACCCACAGACGAACGGCATCTTCGAGCTGCGCGTGAAGAACGCGGAGGGCAAGGAGGGCGTCTGGACCATCGACATGAAGTCGACAGGATCGGTGTACAAGGGCGCGGCGAAGACGAAGCCGAACGTGACCCTCATCATGTCCGACGAGACGTTCCAGCAACTAGCTGACGGCAAGGTGCGTCCCGTCTCGCATGTGCTGTCAGGACGACTGCTCACGGATTGGGCTCTACAGCTCGACGGACAGAAGGCTTTCATGACGGGCAAGCTCAAGACGAAGGGCAACATGATGTTCGCCACGAAATTGGACGGAGTGCTGAAGGCAAGCCCCGCCTCCCCAACCTTATGCCCAGTGACTTACCCTCCCTCTATACAGGCGGCCAAGACAAAGGCCAAGTTGTAGACGCCTCTCCTGTCCTATCTATCCGTTGTATATCCATGTTGTTTTTTATCCGGAAGGAACACTAATGTATGATATGATTGAGCTTGAGCTGGAGATAGCATACGCGACGAACCCAGTCGTGATTACAGTAAGTACTGGTATCCAAATCCGAGAATATGAGCGAAGGCGCAAGATTATCTAGTCGAACATACTGCCAAACAGGCCGCGTGCTCGACGTGGGGTGGGCTGGACATCTGGCCGTAGGGTGGCCAAGCTGTTCAGCTGTTTCATGACCTATGGCAGCGAATGAGTACTGTCCGAGATCTGGGCACGCAAGCGCGGACTTACCTCCTCGAGTTTGTCTTTGCGCTCCTGGAGATCAAGATGCTGCCTTACGGCGGGATTCTCCCGAGCGAACTCGACAATTTCTCGGCGATCGAGGTCGTAGAGGAGGCGCGAGTCGATTTCGCGGGGGAACTACAAGGATCCGCTCAGCGTATGGTGAGAGGGACATGCCAACCGCAACATACCTGGTAGAAGAAATGATCGAGGAGCTCGATGTTGATGAACATAGCTGACGTGTAAGCCAGCTTGTCTGCTACAGCGTTGAGGAAGATCTCTGGGCAGAAGACGTCGTTCTCCGGGCCGCCCTTGCATCGCTTCGACTTGAGCGCCGCAAGCCGGAGCTTGAGGATGCTCAGCCTGTCAGAGCAAAGAATAGCATGTCGGCCTATCAGCGCGTCAGCACCTTACATGGGTCAGCGCATACAGGTGGACTCACCATCGAGGACTTGTCCCTGCGGGTAACGGTAGTCGTCTCCATTGAGATCCGGTGCGTCACCCTCCTCTACCCCGCTTAACCGCTTCCGCCTCCTCTCGCTCTCCTTCTCCTCTATCCCCTTCACGTACGTCATCAGGCTTGTCAAGCGACGGCTGCCGCCCACGCGCTTCCTGATATCCTTCAGCTTGTCCTCGCACATCCGCATCTCGCTCTCGAACAGCTCCACCGCCTGCGTGCGCCCGAGCTCCCACTCGCGCGCCTCGACCTCGACCTCGTACTTGTACGGCTTGATGCAGTTCTCCACCTGGTCCGCCGTGATCCCGATGCGGTCGCGCAGGAGCATGTGCGAGAACTGAATGAGCCGCTCCGCCGCGCGCGGGTGGTACGTGAACGGTTCGCCCGCCGCGATGGAGTCGATGAGCGCACGGAGGCCATCTGCGACAAGGAGAGTCGCGTCGCGTCCGACGCCTGACTTGGTGAGCAGCGATGAGGCGGCCTCGAGTTTGTACCGCCAGTACGGCTCCACGTTCTCTGGTTTCACCTTCGGGTCCGCCGCGATCGCGGTGAGCTCAGGCGTCCGCTTGTCTGACCAGTAGAGCTGTTCGAGGACGTTGAGCACCTTTTCGTCGAGCATCGCCTTGAGCTTCGTGCGGACGTGCGGCTTGCGGAACTGTCCAGTAAACTCGCGGAAGCGCGCCTTGAGCGCGTCCATCGTTTCCGCAACGTATGATTCGGCGGTGATGCGGCGGTCGTTGTACTGCACCTTGAACTGATACTGCGCCTCCTCCATCTCGAGTTGCACCGCGTTCGTGATGCCGTGTAGCGACGACGCCATGCTCGACTCGAGCACCTCCATGAGCCGGCGCCGTAGCGTGTCCGTGCCAACCATGAGGCTCGACTTGTTGCCGAACTGCTCGCGATGTGCACCGAAGTAGTCGCTTTCAGCTTGTCTCGCGACGAGCGCGCTCGACTCGTTGCGCGGCTTCTTGCCTGACGGTTTGCAGACGACGCCGACGTAACCGAGATGGAGAGGGTAGCGGTTGCCTGCGAGGATCTCAGCACCTTGTGTTGGTGGAACAAGGTCCATCTTCGTCACGACTCCAATGGTACGCAGGCCGAGTGGGTCGACTTTCCTGCTTGCACGTAGCGCGGGCGAGTTGGCCAGGTCAACGTCCGCCGCGCAGACCGCCAGGATGATGTTCGGTTCACGGATGTACCGCTCGCAGAGGCCCGCAATCTTCTCCTTCAGCGATTCAGGCTGGTCCATCGACGCGATCTGGACGTAACCGGGGAGGTCGATCAGCGTCAAGTCTGGAACACGCGGACTGTATATCCGCAGGTCAATGGGGTCGTTTGAGACGGCTTCCGAGGCGGGCACGGCAAGGTTGAGGTCAGTCAACGTCCTCTGAATGTTGGAGAAGTCCGTGATCTTGCCAAGTCCGAGAGCAGGGAATTCCCCGTACTCCTCCGCAGCGCCAGGCGTGTGAATGAGGGTCAGTTCGATCGGACGGCGAGTAACCATGTTGGTTCCTCTGCGAGAGTGTTAGCATTATTTCGAATGATTGGCGTGGCCGTACGTACTTAGGAAGGAACTCGTGCCCGACAATTGCCTCAAGGACCGAGCTCTTGCCTGAGCTTTGGCTGCCGATTACAACGATGCTCGGTAGCTTGAGTGCGTCACTCTGGTCGATGCTGATTAACATACTCCTGATTTCAATGAGTTTCTTTGTGAGGTGCATGAGACCGTTCTGCCGTGCGTCTGCGGATGTCCCATCATCCTTGCCGTTCGCTTTCGAGTCCGAAGCGGAAAGTGTTGTAGCAGCCAACATGGCAGCCAGCGCCGTGGCGTCATCCCCATCTGGCTGCTTCTTCCCTGAGCTTCCGGACCTGCCACCGTTACCACTGCCCTCGCCGCCTGCACCTTCTCCAGAGAATAGGTCCTTCAAAAATTGTGGTGTCTCGAACTCGGGCAGCTTCACTTCTGGGATCAGGGACTTTGCCGACTTGACAGCGTCGGATGCAGAATCAATCAGGTCCGTCGCTGTATCCTGCACACTCGAGATCCAGTCCGAAGACTTCTTCCGGAACTCTGTCAGCGGAACCAGATCACTCGGTCTCCGTATGCACCAAGACGAGCAGTACACGCACCTTCGAACTTGTAGTTGGCGTACGTGACGCCACCCGCACCTACTGTAGCAGTGGCAATCGGGACGCGGAAGGCCCGGAGCACGAATCTAGGGATAGACGAGTACGAGAGCGCGCGGACATGCATATGGCGCAGCGCAGCTGGAGACGGGGCATAACGAGGTCGTGAACGGAGGTGGTTGGACGTCAAGAAGGTCGTGAACTGTCTGTGCGCAGGCCGGGAGGCCTCAAGCTGTCTCCGAGAGGGTGTCTTCAAGCCATAGGCGACGGTCTTCTTCAGCGAGAACGCGGAGACGCGACGGCGCACGGCAGCGTACATTGGACCGTGTCACAGGCTACAGCCGGGCGAGATGTCAATGTTGTCGCGGACGTAGCAGGAGAGCCAGCATGCGAGCTTCCTGGCGGCGAGGAGGGAGACGGGATGTGCGCAAACGAATGAAAGTGGATGGGCGTGTTGCCGCGACGATGCGCGTACTCTGCACGCTGCTGACTAAGCCCGACGCCGGGATCTGCTCCTTCTTTTGGCAACTAGTGCTGAGTCAGACGTTGACTGAGTCCTTCATTTGCACACCACGGCATGGGTCTTCTTCCACTCACTGGGTCCGTCATACATGGGAAGATTGCAGGGTAGTGGCTTCCGAAAGACACGCTCGGACTTACTCCTGGAGTAAGGGTGATCATGAGACGATACATCGCTCAGCGCAAGTGAGTGCTCAGCGGAAGGGCCGGCAAGCCGGCGGACCTGTGAGCCTCCGTACACTCTCTATCACGATGAAAATCGAGATGCGATACCTATATAATAAGCTGAGGCTGCCAGAAATGCCTCAACGGCGTATCCGAGATAGCACACCAACCCCGTCATGGCACCTAACAGCACTCCTCCCCCTTCGGGCGTGTACGTTCCCGCTGTTCTCTATTTTGACGAGAACGAGGATTTCGATGTACCCGCTATTCAGGCACACGTTCTCCGGCTGGCGAAGGTCAGCCATGCGATGACTGAGCTCATGGCCACGAACTGACAAGCGCATGGGATGCCAGGGCGGTGTGACAGGCATCCTCGTCCAGGGCAGCAACGGCGAGGCACAGCACTTGTCGCACGACGAGCGGAAGGAGGCAATCCGTATCACGCGGAAGACCCTCGATGACAATGACTTTCAACAAGTGGTGATCATTGCGGGAACCGGTGCGCAATCGACCCGCGAGACGAAGAAGCTCTGCAAGGACGCCGCGGAAGCGGGGGCTGCCTTCTGCCTTGTCCTCACACCCTCTGTATGGCCAACCCAGATGACACCGGCGAACATCCTGAAATTTCATAGAGATGTCTGTGCTCTCGTTGAACTCCCAGTCTCCCTCACACTGAATACTCTCCACAGGTTGCAGATGCCTCACCTATCCCGACGATGGTGTACAATTTCCCGGTCGTCACCGCTGGACTGAACCTGGATTCCGACATCATCGGAGAGCTCGCCCAGCACCCAAACATTGTCGGTACCAAACTATCCTGCGGGACCGTCGGCAAGCTCCACCGGCTCACTTCGACTGTCCCTATCACCAAGTTCGCTACCTTCCCCGGCGTCTCCGATGTCTTCCTGCAAGGGCTCGTGTCTGGCAGTGCAGGCCTCATCGGCGCGCTCCCCAACGTAGCGCCGAAGGCGCACATGGAGGTGTACCGGTTGTACAAGGCCGGGAAGATTCAGGAGGCAGAGAAGATCCAGGCTCTGCTGGGCCACGCTGATTGGGAGTTGGGCAAGCTGGGCAGCATTGGGGGTATCAAGGCGGTGGTCTCGAAACACTTCGGGTATGGAGAGACGATCGTGCGGGGGCCTCTCAGTGCGGCGGTCGTGACGCCGACGAGCACTACGAAGCTGGAGGAGCTGATTGCATTTGAGAAATCGCTGTAAACGTCAACTGTATCGATAGATTTTTATATCTATGCTAGCGAACGAAATGCGCGCTCGAGGTTGTCAATGTCAGAACGCATCTGTCTTGGATGCCGTCTCGGAGGCGGCGAGCTTATGACGACATGCAGCTGTAACATCGCTGCTTCTTGCTGAATACACATCTCCGCTTCGTCTGAGCTTATAACTTTAAGGTCGTTCACATCGGATCTCTGCGATACCCATCTTTGTGCGTACTGCAGACCTTACAATCAGCAAACCTCTCACTATGCCGACTGCAATTGTCACTGGCGCAACTGGTGAGTCTCATGTGAGCCTTCGAAAGCTCAACTTGTCATTCATGCTGGTCCAGGTATCCTCGGTCGCGAGATTGTCTACGAGCTTGGACGTCATCCGCAAGAATGGACTACGGTCCATGCGCTTTCGCGTTCGAAGAAGGACGTATACCCATCTAACATTGTCCATAACTTCATCGACCTCACGGCGGATGTGCAGGAGGTGGCAAAGGAGCTGAAGGATGTGTCGGCTGACTATATCTTCTTCGCTGCATATCTACTCAAGGGTTCGGAGGAGGACAATACCAAAGTCAACGGTGAGCTGCCAACATCTGAGTCACGTTGAACGAGGCTCAACCTGTATAGGTGATATGCTGGAGAACCTCTTCAAAGCCCTCGAGATCAACAATGCCGTCTCGCATATCAAGCGTATCGTCTTGGTCACCGGATGCAAGCAGTATGGCGTCCACCTCGGTCGCCCCAAGAACCCCATGGTCGAGTCTGATCCTTGGCTCCCCGAGCCGCCCTACCCACCCAACTTCTACTATCGCCAACAGCGCAGCCTGCACGCCTTCAGTGCAAAGCATGGCATCGAATGGGTCGTCACCTACCCAAACGAAGTCATCGGCTTCGCTAAAGGTAACTTCATGAACCTTGCCGCGTCGATCGGGCTCTACGCCGCGGTGCACCGCGAACTCGGCACAGGCGAGCTGCCCTTCCCCGGCGGGGCGACGTTCTACGAGAAGTTCGACTCCTTAACGTACAGCCGGCTACACGCCGAGTTCTGCGTGTGGGCTGCGACCGCGCCCGGCGCGAAGAACCAGGCGTTTAACGTCGTGAACGGCGATGTCGAGAGCTGGTCGAATATGTGGCCGAAGCTCGCTGCGCGCTACGGGATGACGGTCCCCGGCGACCAGTTCTCGCGCCCTGCACCGGACGCGTCGGATGTGCCCATGGCGGACAACCCGCCGATCTCGTTCTTGGCGAAGGCCCTAGGACTACAGGGCAAGACAGCGCAGTCGCACATCGAGCAGACGATCGACCTCGCGAAGTGGAGCCAGAAGCCGGAGGTGCAGGCGGCCTGGGAACGCCTCGCTGAGCGGGAGGGCCTTGAGAAGGACGCATTCGAAAAGGCGACGTGGATGTTCTCGGGCTTCGTGTTGGGTCGCAACTTCGACGTGATAGTCAGCATGAGCAAGGCGAGAGCTGCGGGGTGGACGGGGTACCACGATACGTGGGAGAGCTTTGAGAAGGTTTTCGACCAGCTCGAGAGCGAGAAGATATTGCCCAAGGCAATTGGCAGATTCGTCGGGTGGTCGATGCAGCAGTGAAGTCACTGAGGGAGTATACTGTTTTTCAGCCAAAACATGTAGATCAGAGCTGTAGTAGACATGGCCCTGTCTTGACTTTGGCTACACCGCATGGCATGGCATGCCGTACCAGCCCGGGCCGTGCACGCGACAGCATGCTTCAGACGCAAGTCCGATTCAAAGGGGCATAGTCTCTGGCAGCGAAGTCACGTAGCTGGAGGCTGCCAAAGTTGCGACTGGCAGACGTGCTTTCACTCTGAGTCGAGCGAAACAGACTGTGAGGATGTTGCCCGCCGCCAGGCCGCCTCACGCGTGCGCGTGAGCGCTTGAGCGCTTGAGCAGTCGTGAGCGCGTAACGCCGGACCGTGCGCTTCCGCAGATCAAGATCGACGCGTTCGGGCGCCACACTTGCCAGCGGCCCGCCCGCATCCTCCTCATCTTATCCGTCCCTCCGTCCCCACTGCCTGCAGCCATAACACTGCGCATCAGACGTTGCGAAGCTCTTTTTTGTCTAGGTATTGTGTGATCTGCTTTGTTCACGCGCCGGATCGGCGCGTGCCAAGCAGTTGCCATTTCCAGTCGTCCATTGTTCCGCATTTGGACGCGGTGTGGACCCACAAAGTCCCATGAGGCGATCTGCAAGTGATTGATTGGCCGGAGCACATCGATAGGACGGTGTAACAGAGCTTCCGTGGACCATGCCCGGATTTGGGCCGTGTGCAAGAAGTGTGCCACTCCCGCCCGCGCGTATAAAGGAAGCAGCTATCCGCGACTTCCGCCCAGTTCGTCTTTCTTCTCGTCCCATCATCTCCCTTTCCTCTGATCCCCCCCCTCCCATGTCATGTCATCGGGGCGTACCTGTGTCTTGTACTCGTAGCTGCTACCGGATATCAGTCCCCGCTTACTGACCTCGCCGTGTAGTGAGCCACTCAGGCTGCGGGCCCCGGAGGTGTACGCCACCAACGCCACTCGTCAAGGTATGTTATACTCCTCGGTCAAGGACCGTATCCTGACGTTTCCTGGCGTTGCCTTCGTTCGTCAGCCGCAAGTTCTGTTCGATGTTCACCGCCACAATCGTTGTCAACCTCCGCCACTCCCAGCCACCAGTCAGCCGCAAGATCGTCCATTTAAGAGCGTGTCGCTGAGCCTGTTCTGTATTGTTTCTTCTCACTTGCTCGTCTGTGTCCTGCATGTTCGCCTGCGCCATATGTCCCGTCTAGTATACGCTCAGCTGATTGTTGTCATCAACGCAAGCCTATGTGATTCTGTGAGTGGTGAGGAGGTCTTCCTTCGTCGTCGTCGCTCAAATACTAATTCTCTACATAGTCAAGTCTTCTGATTCAAGACCGGGTCGTCAAGCGCTGCAACTCCGCTGCTCAAGACGTTGCTCGAGGCCACCTCTCGGTCTCAGCTCGCTTGCTTATCAGTATGTAATCATGGCTGTTCACTCCGTTGCTCCTTGCTAACGTCGCTCGCGTCAGTTGGTTCCAGGGTCAAGCGCTGCAAGTGTAGCTGCCTCCATTGGGCCGGCCGATGTCAAATGCCGCAACGTAGGCTGCGTCAAGGCGGGAGACGAAGCTAATGCAAGGGTCAAGCGCTGCAAGTTGAGCTGCCTCCAGTACAAGCTCTTTAAGGGTCAAGCGCCGGAAGCAGGGGCCGAAGAAAACGTAGACAGCTTGCGCAGGCCGAGGAGCCTGAGAATCAGCGAGTAGGCGCGGAGGACTCGAGGAGGGCAACCTTAGGGCCGGGCGTTTCGCGCCACACGTACCGGGTTGAATACTTCACTAAGCGCCGGTTCCGGGTGGACGAGATCCAAACGGGATACTGTATCGGGCCGGGATCTCGGCCGGACAGGGTACTCGGTCAGTCGACCACCGTGGGCTCGATCTCAAAGTTGATCACAAGAAAACTATACCAGGAGGTAGAGGAGGATTCTGAGAGTCGACTGGTATGCATAATTTGTTGTAAGACTGGGAATTGAGCCTACGGCACTCGACTGACCGAGTACCATGTCCGGCCGAGATCCCGGCCCGATACAGTATGCATCAGCGTCGACTCGATCGCCGGTGCGATCGGCGAGTCGGATCACCGTCTTCCGGCGATCCAAAGTTGGCAAGCTGCGAGCCCGGACTTTACGGACACCCCGACAGTCGTACCGAAGTCTTTCTGGCTGAAGCTGACCCAACGTTGCACAAGAGATCCGTAGCGTAAGTTGTGAAGGTACTGGATCGAGGAGACTCAGTCATTCTGCCAAGGCGATGCCAGTGGAACACTATGTACCTAGTGAGCGCTGTCACACATCGAAAACGCCGAGGCGTCTAGATGTCGTGACTAAATGGAATACCCTCCTCCTCCTCCTCCGAGGGCCGCCGGCCGCTCACCGTCATCCATATCCGGTACCAGTACTACTACTACAACTTCCGTCCTTCTGCACTTGTTATCGAACCGCCACCACTGCGAGCTTGAGTCGTCCAATATCTCTGTCCTCCAATGTCTTCGGGGCAGCGGTTGTCCGGGATTGACACTGATTGGCTTCCTCTTTCACTTTTGCCGAAAACAAACTTACCAGTATGCTTGCCACAGGCTCTGCTCGACGAACTCAAACTTCAGGTCGATCCAGACTTTTACTCTGAGCAGTCGATCATCTTCGGGCGCGACGAAAAGGATGCCAGAGTGTTCCCTATGCGTCACTTGATACTACGACACTACGTACTCGCACTAGGAGACGCGGATACGACAATCGACGAATCATGGGCCGGCCATAACGACAACGATTGGTCCCTCCCGCAGATCATGCCCGATGGGAGCGGGAGCACATACCTCCACTTCGCCGTCAGGCTCGATGACGTGCCGTTCGTATACGAATGCATCCGTCTTGGGGCCGACGTCAACCGTAGGGACGTCAAGGGGCAGACACCGCTGTACTGCGCCATGCACGAGTTGTTTGGGTTCTCACTCGAATTGGCAGAGCGACAGCTGCGCCACAAGGGCACCGAGGACGAAAGCCTCGCCATATCCACCATCGCGCGGTTGCGACACATAGCGAAGATTCTAGTCGAGCAGCACGCCGATATCAAAGTTCCGCCTCACGGGGATCTGCTCTACCACGTTGTCAGCCTCGCTTGGGTGACCCTCGAAGTAGAACTACTCGAGCTGTTTGGGCTCTACGGAGTCCCTTCTGACTACTTCGAATTCCTCTCGGAAGCCCCGGATCCACAGTTGGATACTTGGGAAATCAATCCCGCCGGAGTATCAGCTTGCAGGGAGCTGGCGGCGCGTTTCGCTGCTACTTTACCATCGAGAATGGAACCAATAACGCGACCACCACGTAAATGCCCTTGTTTGTCGGGAAAGCCACTCGCCGAATGTCACGGATCGGGTGACCACCCATATCCTCCCACATTTGCGTGCATCTGCAGGTCGACGAAGACATATGAAAACTGCTGCAAACGCAGAGCCGAATTGGTCGAGAGATGGGACCAAGAACGGGGGTGCATGGCTGTCACCCAGCGCAAGATGGAAGGGAATACGACGACCTACATCTCCTTTACCTCTGTGGGCACGGCAAGGAACACCGTATGGCCGGATACGGGAAAGAAGACTCCGTCAGAGCTCGTTGAGATGGCCGTCGAGTATAACGACACCCAAAATGAAGAGAAAGCTGACCCGGCTTTCCGGTATGTGGTGACTGAATTGAACTATCTGCCTATGTCAGTGCTCCATGCCGAAGAATCCGTATTCGTCTGACAGATGAAACATCTTCAGGCCTGAGGGAGACTGGCTGGGCTCAAAATCCCTGGGCAAGAAACTCAGCCTTGGCTGGAATCTTTACGTCGACCAGTACATTGCATCCGGCCAAGACACTCGGAGTGTCTCCCAGATCGAACGGGCTGCCAAGCTGGATGCGTTTTGGCAGCCCCTATGGAAGAGATGTGAGGCATCCGGATGTAAGACGATAGAGCGTCCAGGGCTCAAGATGAAGCGCTGCCATGGGTGTCAAAAGGTTCGTGATCCTCGTCATTGTACGATCCCATGTTTGTTCATCTGGCAGTATAGATATATTACTGCGGCGCGCCGTGCCAGAAAGCACATTGGAAGGAGCACAAGGATGCATGCAAGAGACAAGACCACCCACTCCAGATGTTGCGATCGCAGAGGATCTACTCAACTATTCTCAACGAGATCATCAAACCTGCGCAAGAACGGTTACTGCAGGGCTCAGAGTACGTGCATGTATCCTCGCAAGTTTGTACTAATTCTGAACATTTTCACATCTGACGGCTGTAGACCAACAAAGCCTGCAGACTCCGAGGAACCTGCTATTTGAGGCCGCGCTAACTGCGTGAGTTTAATATGCATTGGAGATGATACCTAGCTCATGGACGTAAAGCTGCCATTGTTGTACGAAGGAGTCGGGTGAGCTAAAGATCATTGACGGCGGATTTTGCAGAAACGGTATGACCTGTACGAGCACCGTGTATGTGCAGCCCAAGAGGGCGCATTGTAGACGACCCAGGACCGAACGCAATCTCATGTAAGTAACAGCTGCTTGCGTACTATGAGCTGGCCCGACGCGTGGATGTACGCGCGGCGGCTGTGAGGCGCGACGTCATCGCCCGAAAAGGTAAGCCGGACGGAGGGCGGGGCGCGCCACCTGATCGGGAGGGCCCCCAGGTCCCAGGCGCGTCAGGGTGTCACCCACTAGGCCGACGCCCCACCGTGTATATAGCCCATCCGCATCCGCCCCTCCGCCAGCATATAAACTCTCCACCCACCATGTCCGCCACTCCAGACATCCCCGCACCCACCCCATCCAGCGAACAGAGCGTATACTTCGACGCACCCATCATGCACTTTTTCTCTCGCAATAACGACGACAAAGCCCACGACGAGCCTACGCAGGTTGCGGACACCAATGGCGCGCATCAGGGCACTGACCCCCAGCCGTCTGTCGCGATCGCTCCTGACCCAGTCGTGAACCGCTACCACGAGAACCTCGAGGACGAGCAACAGGAGCTCGACGGCAAGAAGCCGGCCGCGACCACCTTGTCTGCTATTCCCGAAGGCTCCCACAGACGTGCGGGCAGCCCGCCGTCTGATTCAGGCTACGGCTCGTCCTCGCCCAACACGGCCGCCCGCCCACCAGAGCGATCTGCCTCCCGCGCGTCGCGTAGAAGTCTCAAGCCTGTCCCCGTCGTCTGGAAGGACGGTCAGCCTGGCAGCGAAACCGATGACGACACCTACGCTGATCCAGGAGCCGACAACCGAGCTCGACGCGCGACCTCTATGCGCTCACTCCGCACGTCCACTAGTCGGCGCGATCGTGATGGCTATGACCACGAAAGCGTTCGCAGCACGCCCGCCTCACGCTTCTCGGACCGCCGCCGACGCGTAAGCCTGAGCGGGGGCAGTTTTGCGGGAGGCGCAGGGACAATCGGCCCTGAAGCAACACCCCAACTAGACGATACACAGTCATTCGTGGCAAGGGCGAAGAGCGCGGAGGCAGAACTGACTCCGAAGCAGAAGTCTAAGATCGAGAAAGCTTCAGGTACAGACCTTTTCGTCAGCACTCAGGAACACTACTCACCAGTACTGGAGTACAGCTAAGGAGGGCAAGCGCCTCTCGAAAGTGCTGAAGTCCGAAGCGAAGTCGGAGGCGAAAGCCATCGAGCAGGCCATCCGCGAGCTCGCGGATATTCAGAAGATGCAGAAGACCGCATTGAAGGAGGAGAGTCGCGCGGTCGCCAGCCACGCGAAGGCGCTGCGCACATTCCACAAAGAGGAGCTGGAGTACCTCGCCGCTCGGGCACGGTATGAGAAAGCGCAGGCCGAGCTGGCAGCGGTGGAGGATGGCAGAGACGCCGCGCGCGAGCACGCACAGGAAGTCACGGAAATGATGCAAGAGAAGAGTAAGGAGGTTGACTGGTTGCGGGCGCAGAAGGCTGCAGACGATGTAAGTTGTTCCCCGTTGCATTTTCGTGTACGTACCGAACTTGACCAATTTGTGACTGTAGCGCGAACGACAGGCGAAGCTTGTGCAATTAACGGGCAAGTCATAACTCCCAACGCATCTAGGGGTCCTCAGTGTGCTTCATAAGACTTGATACCCATAGCCTGCTCCCATATGATGTATTATATACTCCTTGAATAATGTCTCATGACGAAGACTTTTTGATGTTCTGCACGACAACTTAAGGGCAAGAGCCAACAGACGCGACCAACGTGACCGTGACGCGTACGATTGAATAATTGAGCGCTTGCGCCACAATTGCGCTCTCGTTCAAGCCACACGACTTGATCCTTGCCGCCATCTCTGTGTCTGCTGAACTCGGGGTGAAACCAGTACCAATCACAATTTACGCCACATGGACTCGGATGACGAACGGCTACTGCAAGAGGAGGAGGCAGAATTTGCGCGAAACGCATTTGAGCTTCGTGAGTGGGTGCTCCTTTGTGCAAACGCGGCCGGACGCGTGCTGACCTCGTGCGACTCGTGATCCCGTCCGGGTTGGGACCGGATACAGCGCAGCGACCGCCGGTGTGGATCAGGACCTATGAGCGGGAAGAGTTCGCTATACGGCGCGAGTATGTGTTCCGCACAACAGATGCGAAGGAACAAGGCATCCCGTTAGACAGCAGCGGCGACATCCGGGGGATGTGGCGTATC